CCCTCTCTCCCCAACAAACATTCTTCAAAGGCCTGGCAGACGCGCACGCACACGCGCGCGCGCGCACACACACGTTCGGCAAAGATGGAGCGTGTGGAGAAAGCGGAGATCGCATTGATATGGTCCACCGTCTTTGAAAAAGTGCGCTTCATGACGAAAGCATCAAACGTATCAAGCGTAGAATTCCAGCTTGTTGTCCCCTTCCTTCTTGACCGTTTGCTTCCACGCTCTGTAGGATGCGGGGGAATGACGGATGAAGCGGCATCAGCATGCGCGAATGGCACACGCATTGCGTACACCACATCAGAAAAGGGCAAAAAAACTCACTCTTCAAAGTCAGCAGGCAAAATCACTGCCAAGGTCCCCGCGCGCGCCCCAGAAAGACAAAAAAGTCGCAGCATGAGTTCGGGCATGCACGTGCACGCTTCTTGCACTCCAATGCAAGCGTCGTCCCTCTCAAAACATAACATCGAAAAACTCACCATACCTGTTTCTCCTGACGGCCTGCAGTCCGGCAGCTTGCGCAAAGCTGCTAAGTTCTGCGCTCGAAAGCTTTTCGGGTCTGCTGACGTAATCCTCCATGTCCACATCCGGTGCCAAATTCATCTTTCCCGTAATGGTTTGCAGGATCAATCGCCGCTCCCGCCTGTTTGGCAGCGGAAACTCGATCTGCAAAGAGGGAAGAGGGTGAGGAAAAGCAGCTGGCATTTTTAGCCAAGCTTTCACCCCCCTCTGTTCATACCACCACGCCACCACGCACCTTGCGATCCAGACGACCAGGACGCAAAAGTGCTGGGTCTAGCGTGTCTGCTCGGTTGGTTGCCATGATGACCTGCTCGCAAGTTAAGAGCTGTTCAGGTCAAGGCTGGCCTTTTACATGCGAGCCAAACAAATGCGCCCCTACTCACCTTTACATTGCTTCCTTGATCAAAGCCGTCCATTTGATTCAGCAGCTCTAGCAGGATGCGCTGTACTTCTCTATCAGCGCCAGTCTGTGCATCGAATCGCTTGGTCGCAATGGCATCGATCTCATCAATAAAGATGATGGCCGGTGCATTCTCTCTGGCTAGTCTAAAAACGTCGCGAACCATCCTTGGACCCTCTCCAAGATACTTTTGAACGAATTCTGAGCCGACGACCCTGATAAAGCTTGCTGTTGTGGCATTCGCTACAGCTTTGACCAGCATGGTTTTGCCCGTACCTGGAGGGCCATAGAGCAGCACCTGGAGGTTGCGCGCAACGCTAAAGTCAGCAAAGGTGCCACAAGGAGCCACTGCACGAGGTTGGGCAACTCACACCCCGAGGTGGATCGATACCAATCTGTCGGTACAAGTCGAACTGGACCAGGGGCAACTCTACAGCCTCGCGGATCTCTTGCTTCTGGATGTCTACGTTGGCAGAGAGGGAGGAGAGGAGAATGAGCGACAGTTGAGCCCATAGAGCTGCCGCACTTTAGCTCGCCACTCACCCATTCCACCAATGTCTGCATACGTCTCCGTCGGCTTCTCATCCTGGCCTAGCATCGCGATGCTCGAATCAGCCTCTGGAGGCAAAATGTCTACCAACGAATTGGAGTGTCTGTGCAGCGCCACGGAGCTGCTTGGTTTCAGCAATTCCCTATCCAGCGTGCTGAGGATCCTGACGACGTAATTGCTGCCGGTTGTGCTTCCGACGATGCCAGTGTGCTGATCGATGGGTTCGAGAAATTGACCAATGACGAGCGGCACGCTTTGTATGCGCTTCACTTCCTCTTGCGCTCGCACCAGCTCCCTCTTCAAGTTGCGTTGCTCATCTTTCTGCGAGCGATGGAGGAGGTGAGGGTGGTGGTCAGCAAACAGGCTACTACCCAACCTGCAAATCATCGGATCCCGCCCCCACTGGCCCCACCGATACTCACGACATAATCCTCCATCGTGCTGAGGAACTCGAGATGCTGAGATAGCTTCTTGTACCTCAGAAACGTGTCCTCTTCTTGTCCCAGCGCTTCGTGCACAGCCGTCTTTTCGGCAACCGCCTCATCAAATGTGGGTTCTTCCCTCCTGATTCCCAATTCCTCCATCGTGGGCAAGTGCGTGGGACTTTGTCGGTTGCAGAGATCACACCAAGCGAGGGCGAACAGAAGGGTGGTGTGATGCTCGAAGGGCAAGCGCGTGATGAGGATGAAGAGCTGTGCTGGAGGAGCGTGCCGTGCGAGTATGGTGCATGCTGGAGGCAGGAAAGCCAAAAAGTCGCGCACAATGTGAACGAATCAGGGTGGAGATGCGACAGGGAACAGGAGGACGCGCCAGCGTCCCTTCTCGCGACCGCCCGCCCACGTCTGATCGCGCGCACGGTTCAGTCACGTGATGGTGCTTCGCGTGCGCGGCCTTGCGCCGCGGATCACAGCGGCGCTGCTGCATGCATGCATGATCATCCGCGACTGCCGCGCGCGCTCACAACTTTGAGCTCTTGACTGACTCGTGACTTTTGACTACT